CCTGTTCGTCGACTTTGCGGGCTAAGGTTTAGGGATAAGGGCTGCCAGCATGCATGGAGCAACCTCTTCCTCACATGACTCGTATCCCTTTCCGTCATTGCATGACCTCTGGCAGGACTACGACGACGATAACGACGACGAGGAGAGCCGAAATGGTCAGTTTTCCTACTCAACGCGCTCGTTCGCGGCTGCGGGAAGTAGGTGTGTTTTGCAGCAACGTGTGCAGACACATGCGCACCTCACGAAGTCTAAACCCTATAGAATCCCAAAACCGAAACCGAAAACCCGGACTTAAACCTCCTAGACAAATTCCCAAGCCCTCAACCCCTAAACCCACCCGCCTAAGCCCTAAACCCTAAACCCTAAACAATAAACCCTAAACCCTAAGCCGTTTAGATTCTAGTGAAACCCGAAACCCTGAAGCCTGAAGCCACACTTTACGGTGGAGGACTCGGGACTCGACTGGGAGGAGCTGGAGAAAGAGGCTTTAGGGTTTAGAGGGTTTAGGGTTTAGGGTTAGGGTTGCAAGGGTTTAGGGTTTAGGGTGTGGGGTTAGGGTTCAGGATTTAGGGTTCAAAGGGTTTAAAGGTGGGTAAAGGGTTTAAAGGGCTTAAAGGGCTTTGAAGGCTGTAAAGTGCGAACGTTTTAGGGTTCAGGGTTTGGGGTTAGAAGTTGTATAGGAGTTGAATCCCAATAAAAAGTCTAGACCGAAACGTTTGTAGCGAACGTCTTCACCGAGTTTGATTTGTAATTTCGAGAATGTATTACTTTTTTGAGGCGGGGGGCCGGGGGGGGGGGGGTGGGGGGAGTTCAGGTGTTCAGGAGGATTGGGGGTGGGGTGGAGGGGTGGACCTCTTTGGGGCATCTTAGTTGCCTTTTCCGAATGAAGGCCACTAGGGGTCAAGGCGTCGAAACTCTGCGAAATCCTAAACCGTAAACCTTGTGATTTTCCAGAACGCAGACTGACCCTTGGTGTAGAAGGTTTGCTCGCCTTGAAATCCGAACAGTTTATGCGTCCGATTTATTTTGTTTTGTCTTGAGGTCAGAGGATTTAGCATCCCAGAGTTTTGAGGTATAGGGTTTAGGGTCCTGATCGCTAAATCCTAAAACCGACCTTTAACCCTAAACACCAAAACAGATGATTCGGGAGGTATGGAAGACCGTCAGCCCGCCATATCACCTCCACATGCCTTGCATGGTGCCTATGGTCCTCCTGAATAGCCCCAGAATAACCCTTTTAGAGGCCCAAACAGCCCTAATCCCAAGCTCGACTCCCCAAACACCCCAAGCAATCCCAAACCCTAACAAGCAACCTTCAGCCCCAAACCCTCGGATGTCCCCCCTTATACTAATGGCCGTTAATGGGGATTATAGTAGGGGGTACTACAATCCCTATTCAGGACTGTTATAGTATCAGGAGGAACATCCCTAAACCCCATATAACCCTAAATGTTAAACAGATGAGGACATGTGTGAGTCGCCGCTGCCTTCCGATTACTCAGGGCTCTGCTACTGCGACTCACCAAATGACCGAGCCAGCGTTGACTTCAGCCCTGTTTCCTGCCCCCCCGAAAGCCCGCCAAAAAAAACCTTGCACCTCTCGGACTCTATTGCAGGAGGCACGCCGCAGGACATCAGTCCTGAAGAGAGGATCCTACACACCTCTTTATTTCGGAAGGTTGAGGAATGGGAGGCTCATCAAAACCGCAGGCGAGTGTCTGCTGCGGTGCCTCAGGTTCATGGTCCTTGCAGGTCATTGATGAGGGGGGGTGCACTGGAAACCGGCCATTACCGCACCGACGCGCTCAATTCTGCTGACTGCTCTTCGCGCTGCTCTGACAGAGGTGCGGGGGTTTCAGGCCATGGTTTGTATATGAACGGTGGCGCCGCGACGCCGCCCGACGTGCAGACCATGTGCAACACCCTGCAAAGCATGGGCGTGCCGGCAGCTTCGGCAAGACAGGCAGCCCGACGGCACCCAGACGATTTGAATGCCGCGTTAGATTGGGCTTGCTCCTCGCAGAGAAGACACACCCGTGTTTGTTTTCCTTCTGCCCGGGCATCCTCCTCCCCCGTCCTTGTTCCAAGCACACCAAGCACGCCGTGCAGCAGAGACGGTGTAGAGAATTCACCTCGCGCTCCAGCTCCCGCAGCCGCGAGTGCAGAGTCTCTGCCACTGCCGGGAATCCCTCGGAGTTGGCAGTGTGCAGCGCCACCGTCGCCTGCCATAGCTCTGCCAGTCCAAGCCACCCGGTCCTGGCTTTACGTGCCCTTGCTAAAAGAGGCTGCAGGGTTGTTAAGTGCAGAGGAGCGCAGGCAGTGGTGTGGGCACCCTCGCATAGGTGCGGATTTCAGGCAGGCAGCAGAGTTTCTCGTCTCCAGCGGCCCTCAGGATGTGCGTCACCTCCATCCAACCTTGGCCCTCGCAGCGCCTGGCCCATTGACGTTAGCCGCTGCCGTGCGCTCCAGCCTTACCGCTGCTGGCTATATCCCCGCCGAGCTGCAAGAAATTCTGCTGCAGGTCTACAGCCGCGATAATCGCTTTTTCTCCATCCTGCACAACATGGCTGAGCAGGTTCGTCCTAGCCGTCCACTTCCAATGCTGAATGTTTATCAGGACAGCAGCGCGGCTGCCGCCGCCTACTGGCGAGCCCGGCGCGAAGCCATCCATGCAGCTGTGGCTCAGCTCTACACCGCGCATCAGCAGCTGGATCCCCGCGATACCAGTGCCCTGGCTCGCTTGTTCCTAGACCTGCCCGCAGAGTCGCCCGTTCGTCCGATAAATAGGAACGATACAGAGCAAATTAGCATGGCCCTTGCGGATGGATGACACTCACAAATCGGGTGTAAGGACGTTTTCTGGGCCACCCCCCCAAGCCGTGTTTGGCTTGTGTGCTATGTCGGTAACCCTTCACCCTTTCTTGGCAGGATTTCTGAGTTTTCAAACATAGCATGTGTCTCGCGCCCGACATTCGGGGCACTCTGTGCAGCGCACGCTTTCACCTTTTTTGGGCGATACCAAGCCCAAAGATTAACCCTTCGCTTCTCTTCTCTCTCTCTCTCTCTCTCTCTCCATTTCCCTTCATTCCAGAAACTTAGACATTGATTCGGACAAAAAACGTGATATTTTGGCATGTTTTGGAATGGGAACGTTTTTAATCTGAGGAATCCGACGCGGGCACAACAAATCTCTCGCCATTGTTCCATGGGTGCTCTGAGCTCGGTGGGGTCAAGGAAGACGGTGTGGCTGCAGGCAGTATGGTAGGTTCGGGAAAGCTTTTGTTGCAATTCCGACTTACAGTCATGAAATAGTAGTCTGAAAAAGAGTAAGAAAACCCACCTAGCTTATGAAGGATGTTGCGAGTCCCTGGCCGAGCGAGCGTGGCCGCCAACAGTGAAACCTTTGCTGCCAGGCCGTTATAAACTTCGAACCCCTTGGTAGAAACGAGGCTTACGCAGCCCATGGCAACGCAGTAGGCCTGTCATTCGGGGACCAGCCGCATCATTTCCAGTTGACCGCGCAGGAGGTCATGTCCACGGAGGTGGCGTTGCTGCGACAGCGGCTTGCTGAAAGCCCCTCCTTTGCCGGCACAATAGTCGATGCGTGGCATTCGCCGCTCAACTTGACAAAGTTTGTGCCCTTTTTCCTGGCCGTCCTGTGCCTTTTTGCCGAGAAGTGTGGCGTGGCCCGTGAGTTCCCTCTCTCTTTCATTCTTACCATGTGCGGCTGGGTTTGTCACCAAGACCTCCACGCGTGCTTTAACCCGCGCAAGCCCGAGCACAGAGTGCGGCCCAGAACATTTACTGTGCTCATTGCTGTGTCCAATTGTGGCAAGTCGCCTTTCTTTCGAGAGTGCATCGATGGGCTTTTCGTAACGCACAAGACTCGAAAGTGCCTGGTCGACTTGCTGCGGCCGTGCTTCATGCAAGCAGACAGCTGCTACGGCAAAGACAAAACCCTGTTTGTGTCACAATCCATAAACAGTGACTTTGCCCGACGCATGAAGGCAACTTCCGGGCATGTGTGCTGGATCTCGGAGGAGGCGTGGGGTGTCCTTGATGTGGCTTGGGCCCGTGGGAAGGCTCGGGAGATGTCGGACCGCAAGATCCAGCCCTCATATCTGCAGAACACCCCAAATGGACTCAGCTACGGGCCTCTAAGCATAAATGCAGAGCAGTTCTTTGTTGACACAACGAACTTCGCCATATATCATGCTGGCCAGCCCAGAGTATTCATGATTACTGGGGCCAAGCTTTCATGCGCACTTGCCCGTTTGCTGGCATGGGCTGGGAGTTTCGTCCGACCTTCTTCTGGCCTCAAAATCAACCAGACGATCACGCAGGCGACCCGCAAGTAACTTTCACAGGCGCAGCTAGGTTTCTGTTGGATTTGCTTGCCACACTGAGCGCGCTACTTGGCCAGCGTTTGAACTCGCGGAATCTCGGCAACGAGCCCATCCATCTTTCAGAGGAAGCGCAAAAGTTGTGGCGGAGCTTCCAGGAAATGGCCGAGCAAGAGAAAACTTCTGTCCCGGACTACGCTAGCCCAGCAGTGGGGAAGCACTGCTTCACGACTACGTCCCACGTCGTTGCCTGTCACCTTCTGCAACAAGCCCTCGTACACATGAAGCAACACCAATCTAATCTGCCGCTATTGCGAGAGGGCAATGCGGATTATCTCGCCCAGCTTGAAAAAAACCCCTGCGCACTGCGCCAGAGCTTGAGGCCAGGCAGTGCCCATCTTCCTCGAGCTGCCCTGCGCAGCTTTCGTGCGATTGGTTCAGCATTTCCGCAGAACTCCTGCTGGCTGCGCCGGAGCATCTGCATCACATGGTCGCCAGCACACTGACCTGCTTCAATGAAATGAAGCTACCGGACAATGAAAAAGCCGGACCTCGCACTCTCGAGGAGTCGGGCCCGCGGCGAAGCCGTAGGCAGCAAGATCGACCAGCGTCTGGTGACTTGCCTCCCCTCATACTGACGATGGATCAGCTTTGTCCATGCTCTTGCAAGAGTTCCAGCATCAGGAGACGATCACTGTGACAAATGTCAACACCGCCTTGCCTCGTCGACTGGGCTTTCGCTCCAATGTGGATGGCATCAGACGCCTCTTTGACCTGGCGCACGCGTGCGCTGCTGGCACTGTCGAAGGCACGCGGGAAAGGCCCCGCCTACGCTTGTCTTTAGCCACAATGCCGCAGCAAGCACGCGTTCGCTTCGGCCTTCACCTCCCTGCTGTCCCTCCCGCTTCAGAGCCAGTCGTGCCTGTGGTCCCTGCCATGTGCGGGGCTGGAAAGCGAGCTGCGCCCAAGGCTGAACCAGCCCTGCAGCGCGCTAAGGCCAAGGCGAAAAGCGCTGCAGCGCCAAAGGAGAATGCACCCAAGAAAAAAAATGCTGCAGGCGCTGGCAGACCCAGTTCTTCGCAGGAGTCTCCGTACACTGTCAATTCTTCCTACGACGCGGAGGTACCATTTGCAGACCAAGAGGCTTTCATGAAATTTGAAAAAGCATGGGCTGCGACGCATGTTCCAGGTCAGCACCTGAACATACGACACCAATACGTTTCTCAGGCCGGGCATCACAAAGTTATCCTTTGGTGTAACTCGTGTGGGCCATGCAAGAAGAAACAAGGATGGCGAGGTTATTCCGCATATAATTTGGAGAGCAAAGAAGTCAACAGAACTTACACACCCATATCCAAACACACTGACTTCTCCGCTCAGAAAGCCTGGACGCCTTTGACAGCCAAGACGGAAAACGCGTTGAAAGAGTTTATGAAGAGCAATCTTCGTCACACGACACAGGACTTGGTTGCCATTGTCGAGAAGAACCAAGAAGAACGACCTTCGGACTCCTGGATAGGGACTTGGCGGAAGAATCATCTCAAATTGCACCCGGACCGCGCTGTCCGTCTCAGCAAATGCAAATGGGTCAAGTCCGACTGGGAGCAGCTGCGGCGCGACTATGGCAGGATGGAAGAACTTCTGCAGGCGCCACCTGCGGAATGGCCTTCGTCGCTCAAGTTTGGGGATTGTAGCGAGGACCCCAAGGAAACATGCATGACGCTCTGCAACCCGGCCCTCCTGCATGAGACTCTGTCGAGGCTCTCAAACAAGGAATACATCAAGCTGTGCGGTGACGGGACCTTCAGACTTGCCACCGAGGAGTGGGTCCTATTGACAGTAGGTGCCTTAACCAAGCATTACTCGGTTAGTGATGGGGTGTACGCGTTCCGGACAACATTCAGTCCTCTGATGTTTGCCTTGGCAAACAAGGAGAGCGATGTTTCCTACGGCACTCTCTTTGACAGCCTTATCTCTTGCGCAAAAGCGGTTGCCGGAGTAGACCTGCGTGAGGCAGTTGGTCAATACCACGCAGACCTGCACTCAGGTGAAGAGAAGGCACGCAGACGGTGCTGGCCACGCTCAGACCGCGTAGCCGACTTTGCCCACGTCATAGGTGCATGCAAGCGGCCTGCGAGACGTGCCGTTCGGAGCTGGGAAAAGAGCGATGCGCAGGTAAACACGTGGAGGTCAGGCCTCTTTGCTGTCATGAAAAAGAGAGCGCAGCGTGTTCCTCATGCGCTCCATTCCAACTGCGCTTCTTTTTCACACGATCGCACATGTTCTGCACATCACTCTTCTAGCCCAGGACCCCCCGGAAAGGGCTGCAGTGCAGGCTCTGCAGAGGCATTACTTGACCCCCTGCTCGCCTCGTGAAGCCAATGACCGCTTTGGTGTGCAATCCTGGCCGGGGCAGACAAGCCACAAAAACTTGCTTCTCGCAGACTGGTGGCACGGTGCGGAACGCTTGCAACCTGGTTCAGCCAGCGGCACTCAGGCACAGGAGTCATGGCATGTGCATAAACTCAAGAAGCGTCTCGGTCGCTTGCACCAGCCTATTGATGCTCTGGTGTCAGCGCTCCAAAGCTTCATGCAATCACGGCTGAAGGACCTGCAGGCCAGAGGGGGTGTTTTACCCGACGTTCCCGTGGAGCCTTTCCCGGACAAATACGTCCTGCATGACTCGGCCAGGTTAACCTTGGAGGGCCGAACGTCGGCGCACCAATATTTTAGAACCCGGTCCATGGACCTGTGGAGCGACGGTGAAGACACCACTTACTACGCCATGCGTCGCACTTATGCCACGTTTGACCAGGAGGCGAAAGGGTGGTCTGCCGTCCGAACGCCGGATGAGCAAATACAACAAGTTCGCCCAGGCACAGCGCAAGCGCTTGCCCGCCTTGTCCTGGCCACGCAAGGGACCTGCCTGGAGCAGGCGCTGTCTGATCTCGGCCTGGGCCCTTCGCCCTTGCAGGACCTGAACGCTTTGCTCAAGTGCATGAGCACCCACGTGCTTGTGGTGCAGGGCCCCGCCGCAACCAAGCATTGGCGACGCGTGGGTGGGAACAATCCACACACCCAGATCCTTTGCCTGTTTTGCGATTCCTTCGGAATCGCGGGCAGTTGTGAACATGCGCATGTCGCCTTGCTTCACAGCAAGCAGATCTCCTTGACACGTGCGGAAATGCCACGCAGAGCACTCAAAGGCGTCGCGCCTCTCTGTGATCAAGAGCCCGTACCCATCATACTGCCTGGCGCAGCGCGTGCGTCGCACGACAGGCCCGGCGACGAGTCCAGCAGGACGCCCAAGAGGCGCGATCAGCGCCTGCTTGGCTTCCTCGCAGCGCACGACTTTCTCAAGTGGGCGCCTCTTCTGCAAGCAGAAGAGCTGACCGTGGATCAGCTGGCTTCGATACCTCTGGCGCAGCTCAAAGCCATTCTGCCACAAGTGCCGGCCGGCACCCTTTGCACCATTGCCGATGCTGCTGGTTCGTGGTCGCCGCAAAAGGCCGGCCCTCAGCTGACAGTGGTGCATGTTTTGCATGACGCTAGACTCGCCGTAACTAGGCACCGTCAACGCATTGTCTCTGTCTCAGGTCCACGCAGAGACTGCGCTCAAAGGCGAAGCGCTGGAGGCACCTTGATGTGCCGACAAGAAGATGCGCGCAGCGTGTTATGTCGCCCGCTGTTATCCATCTCTATACAAGTACGTGCCATGCTCCACGTAGGCTGCCTTGCCCACGTCTGCAGAACGGACGGAGGTGGTAGCTGCCAGCTTTCTGCCAAGTCAAGTGCTACTTGCTACACTGCGAACCAGTCCAGGACCAGTATGCCGTAGAGGGACTGGACAAGCCAGCGAATGCGTCCGACAGCGTGAGTGCCTTGACATTCTGCTTGTGCAGTGTCACTGCGTTGTTGTGCAAACCTGCGTAGTGTGGCTGCCAATGTTGTATGAGGATGTGTCCGAGGCGCGTGTCAGTTTTCGCGCTCTGGCGGTTGACTTTTGTTCCCCGCACTCGCTCGCTGTTGTCATCTGCAAACTCTGCTACACGTCGGCAGGAATCTGTGGACGGGGAGGAGGAATGCGTTGTGCGCAGCAAACCCAAACCCTCACATATCGAGCCATCAGCTACCAAACCCTCGCAGGACGTGGCCTCAGAAGAGCGTAGCGACTCCGAGAAGGAGGAGCAGTAGCCATCCTTGCTTCTGGTTTGTCTTTGGTGGCAAGACCTGTGCAGTGCCTCGCAGGGAGGCCCACAAAGACGTCTTTTGCAAAGACCTGTCACCGTGCCTTCTGCCCTGCAGGACACGAGTGCCCCGAGCCAGCGCGTCGGTAGTCAAGCCTTGGCCTCAATGCAAAAGGTAAGGCCGTAAGCGTGTTTGAAATCCGCGCCGCCCAGGCCTCTGCGTCCGCCGGCCCTGCGCCGCAAGCTTCGAACTCAGTGCGCGGTGTACTTTTTTGCTTTGCAGCCAACCCCGCTTACTGCTGTCGCCTTTGCACCGTCGCTTTCAGAACACTCGTCTCAGCATCTGTAAGTCTGCTTACATTGTGCCAGGCATCTGTGGACGAGGCGGAGGAATGCATTCAGCAACCATTTTCTGCACGCTGCGTCCTCACACAGAGCTGCGAATAGCAAAGTCCTCTCAGGACGCGATCGCAGAAAAGTACAGCGACTCCGAGAACGAGGAGCGCTGGCCTTCCTTGCTTCTTGCTTGTCTCGTCTGGCAAATCAAGTGGCTTGTCAAAAGACACATCAAAGCGCCTTCTGCCCTGCAGGACATGAGTGCCCCGAGTGACCGCGGCGGCAGTCTAGCCTTGGCCTCAGCGCAACAGGTTACGCCCCAAATGTGTCCGAACCCTGAATCACCCAGGCCTCTGCGTCTGCCGGCCCTGTGCGACAAGCTCCGACCTCAGCGCAATTCCTTTTGCAGTGAGCGTCTCCGTGCCGTCGCTTTCACCCGCCCTCAGATGCCGCGCCAGTCTCACCAATTTGTTTAGCATCGAAGGTTCGCCAACAGTCCGTCTGCCATTTTTTTTTTTGGGGGGGAGGGGGGGCGGGAGGGGAGAAGGGGTAAGATCGAGAACTTCTGAACTCGCAACCACCAAGCCGCCGCTTCTCCCGGTATTGCGTCAGAGGCATCGAACTCAGTTGAACTCAGTTGACAACGTTCGGCGCGAGCCATCTGGACAGTCCCAGTCGTTGTCCTGGAGGGTCGACAGACCCTCGGTGATGTAGCTGTCGCAGAGTGGGCTTCTCAGTTTAACACGGCGGAACGCAAGCCGAGGACGTGCCGCCGGATGAAGTCCAGCCGTGGATGGTGAGCCTGTATGGCTGTGTTCACCGCTCACCAAAAACTGGGAGGTTGGCCTGCGGAAAGGCAGTGTCCAATATGGTTCCCTTGACCCGCGGCGACAGCACCATGGGGTATTCTTTTTGCACCCCTGTCTGCTTCAGCCAGAGGCTGCCCGACAACGCAGAACCGGCGCCCTGATCAGCCAAGTCTACAGGGTGCCGATCGGCGTCAGAATGAGCGACTGTGTGAAGCCTCCCAAACAGCCTTCGCTACCACCGTAAACATTGTCATCCTACCAGCCACAGTCCCCGACGGCCCGCCCCACTCACCAATGTCTGAAGCTCACAACATTGTCATCCTACCAGCCACAGTCCCCGACGGCCCGCCCCACTCACCAATGTCTGAAGTTCGCAGGCTAGACAGCGAAAGGTCCGGGAATGCTGTTCTTATCATTTGGTTTCAGCTGTTACCATTATATGCTGGGCATGTTCCGCCAGTAGACCCCGAACAGAGAGCCCACATCTTGACGCGAAGAGAGGAAACGTTTCATCCACCAACTTGTAAGTTTCCAAAACGGACCTTGATTGGGTGTTGTGCCAACTGCATGCGCGGCGAAGCCTGATGCTGGCGGCGTCTGCGGGCAGCCGAGGCGCGTTTCGTGGTTTCGGGTGGAGGGCCTAAATTTTGTTCTTTTTGGTTTTTTTTGGGGTCGATTTTCTTGGTTTTTCCTAAGAAAACCACCATTCCCTCCATATTTTAAAGGATGTGATGTCGTGGTTTTTCGTACGAAAAACAGTAATTTCTCTGTGGTTTCAAAGCGTTATTTTTGGTAGGTGTTAGAAGGAAAGAAGGAAAGAAAGGAAGGAAGGAAGGATGAAAGAAAGGAAGAAAACAAGGAAGGAAGGAAGGAAGAAAGGAGGGAAGGAAGAAAGGAAGGAAGCAAGGAAGGAAGAAAGGAAGGAAGAAAGGAAGGAAGCAAGGAAGGAAGAAAGGAAGCGTACTTCGAAGCCCAAGAAACTAGTTGAAAAAACATCGTGTGAGCATTGTGTTTGCAAATGGGGGCGGCTGCGCCCCCAACCCCCCCTTTTTTTTTTAGCCGTGCTGAGCGTGCTTCAAAGCCCAAGAAACTTGTTGACACCCATCATGTGAGCAGGGTGTTTGCAAATGGGGCTGGGGCTGCGCCCCCCCCAACCCCCCCCGCTTTTTTTAAGCCGTACCAAGCGTGCTTCAAAGCCCAAGAAACTGGTTGAAAAACATCGTGTGAGCATTGTGTTTGCAAATGGGGGGGGGCTGCGCCCCCCCCAACCCCCCCGCTTTTTTTAAGCCGTGCAGAGCGTGCTTCAAAGCCCAAGAAACTTGTTGACACCCATCATGTGAGCAGGGTGTTGCAAATGGGGCTGGGGCTGCGCCCCCCCCCAACCCCCCCCGCTTTTTTTAAGCCGTACCAAGCGTGCTTCAAAGCCCAAGAAACTAGTTGAAAAACATCGTGTGAGCATTGTGTTTGCAAATGGGGGGGGCTGCGCCCCCCCCAACCCCCCCGCTTTTTTTAAGCCGTGCAGAGCGCGCTTCAAAGCCCAAGAAACTTGTTGACGCCCATCATGTGAGCAGGGTGTTTGCAAATGGGGGGCGCAGACCCCCCAACCCCCCCCGCTTCTTTTAAGCCGTTCAAAGCCCAAGAAACTCGTTGAAAAACATCGTGTGAGCATTGCAAATGGGGGGGGCTGCGCCCCCCCCAACCCCCCGCTTTTTTTCAGCCAAAGCGCAAGAAAGTAGTTGAAACCCATCATGTGAGCAGGTTTGCAAATGGGGGGCACAGCCCCCCCAACCCCCCCGCTTCTTTTGAGCTGTACCAAGCGTGCTTCAAAGCCCAAGAAACTAGTTGAAAAAACATCGTGTGTGCATTGTGTTTGCAAATGGGGGGGGCTGCGCCCCCCCCAACCCCCCCGCTGTTTTTTTTCAGCCGTGCAGAGCACTTCAAAGCCCAAGAAACTTGTTGACACCCATCATGTGAGCAGGGTGTTTGCAAATGGGGGGGGGCTGCGCCCCCCCCCCCCGTGTGCAGCTTAAATAGGGTCTATTTGGAAGCTGGGAATCGTATTTACAAGAGGAAAACAGGCCCCAAAACGTATACTTATTCACAAGAGCCATGTTCCAAATAGACCCTATTTTAGGTCCTGTAGGGTTGCATAGACAGAATTTAATTCATTAAATTCCTTAATTTCCACTTTCCCCCTGGAATTTAATGAATTTAATCAATTAATTCAATTAATTCATTTATTTCCAAAGGGGGGGGGGCGGAATTAATTGAATTAGTTGAATTAATTGAATTAATTGAACCCCCCCCTTTGGAAATAAATGAATTAATTGAATTAATTGAATTAATTGAATTAATTGAATTAATTGAATTAATTGAAATAATTGAATTAATTCAATTAATTCAATTAATTCCACCTCCCCTTTGGAAATAAATGAATTAATTGAATTAATTGAATTAGTTGAATTATTTCGATTAATTCAATTAATTCAATTAATTCAATTATTTCCAAATGGGGGGGATTCCCCAGCCCCCACCCCTCCCCCCCCTTTGGAAATAAATGAATTAATTGAATTAATTGAATTAATTGAATTAATTCAATTAATTCAATTAATTCAATTAATTGATTTATTTCCAAAGGGGGGTGGAATTAATTGAATTAATTCAATTAATTCAATTAATTCAATTAATTCAATTAATTCATTTATTTCCAAATGGGGGGGATTCCCCAGACCCCACCCCCCCAGCTCGATTTGGCCAAATTTTGCCCGGAGGCTGCCCGTCAAAATTTGGCCAAATCGAGCCGCGCCTTTCTGGAGGCCCGAAATTATTTAAACTATCGCGGCTCGATTTGGCCAAATTTTGCCGGGCAGCCTCCGGGCAAAGTTTGGCCAAATCGAGCCACGCATTTCTCATCGCATACGAAGGGCAGCCCGATTTGGCCAAATTTTGCCCGGAAGCTGCCCGGCAAAATTTGGCCAAATCGAGCCGCGATAGTTTAAAAAATTCGGGCCTTCAGAAAGGCGCGGCTCGATTTGGCCAAATTTTGCCCGGAGGCTGCCCGGCAAAATTTGGCCAAATCGAGCCGCGCATTTCTCATCGCGTTCGACGAGCAGCCCGATTTGGCCAAATTTTGCCCGCAGACTGCCCGGCAAAATCTGGCCAAATCGAGCCGCGCCTTTCTGGAGGCCCGAAATTATTTAAACTATCGCGGCTCGGTTTGGCCAAATTTTGCCGGGAAGTCTGCGGGCAAAATTTGGCCAAATCGGGCTGCTCTTCGTATGCCATGAGAAATGCGCGGCTCGATTTGGCCAAATTTTGCCCGGCAAAATTTGGCCAAATCGAGCCGCGATAGTTTAAATAATTTCGTTCAATTAGTTCATTCATTTCCAAATGGGGGGGATTCCCCAGCCCCCACCCCCCCCTTTGGAAATAAATGAATTAATTGAATTAATTCAATTAATTCAATTAATTCATTTATTCCCAAAGGGGGGGGTGGAATTAATTGAATTAATTGAATTAATTGAATTAATTGAATTAATTGAATTAATTGAATTAATTGAATTGATTCAATTAATTCAATTAATTCAATTAATTCAATTAATTCAATTAATTCAATTAATTCAATTAATTCAATTAATTCAAGTAATTCATTTATTTCCAAATGGGGGGATTCCCCAGCCCCCACCCCTCCCCCCCCTTTGGAAATAAATGAATTAATTGAATTAATTGAATTAATTGAAATAATTGAATTAATTCAATTAATTCAATTAATTCCACCCCCCCTTTGGAAATAAATGAATTAATTGAATTAATTGAATTAATTGAATTAATTGAATTAATTGAATTAATTCAATTAATTCAA